AACTTCTTGCAAGAGCAGTGTTCTTTTTGTAGGCAGAATGCTTTGTGAAGATTATTTCTGGATCACTTCTGCTTAGAGTAATTCATCTACCCTGTTGAGTACATATTTCTGAAGTTAAAAAGATCAGGCTGATATTTTAAGAATGCTCCTTTCCTGATGAACCCTGTGTGATAATTTTTTTTTTTTCATTTGGTACAAGGTCTCACTGTGCAGTTTGGACTCATAGTGATTCTCCTGTTTTCAGCCTCCCAGCACTGGGGTTATAGGCGTGCCCCACCATGCCCAGTCTTGGTGGCCTGCTCAGTGCACTTGGGTGTAAGGTCGGCGAGGGCATTTGATGCCAGGGATCAAACTCAAGTCTTGCCAGGCAGGGGCTTAGAGCACTGAGCTATCTCTGCGGCCCCCAGTGTGATAATCTTTCCACCAGCATTTCAATACTGATTTTGGTATTTGCTATGCAGTACACTGTTAAGGTTATTTTAGGGTTATTTTTGTCTCAACCATTCCGTGTGCCTCAATTTCCCTAATCTTTTTCTGATAGTCTGAACTTTCACATGATACCTCACTTTTCTATATAGATTTGGATCGATTCTCTACAATGTTATTACTCTTATCGGTTCCTTTGTTTTCCTATAGAAGGTCCTGAATGTTTGCCAAAGGCCTTCTTTGTAGATTCTTTCCTTTTCTAATTAGTAACGTTTGCAGAATGTAATGATTACAGTTATCATGAGGAATTGGTCTCTCTCTCTCCCTCTCTCTCCCCACTCCCTATCACCCCCTCCTTCCTTGATCATTTCAATTCTTGGTCCCCTTCTCATTTGCAGAAACACAAAAGGAGACTTGTGGATCGATGGAACAGAACAGGTGAACTAGAAACAAGCCCAGGCAAATTCAGCTATTTGATCTTTGACAAAATGGCCAAAACACTGGAGGAAAGGCAGCTTTTTTAATAAACGGCGCAGGGGGCCGGGGAGATGGCTCAGTAGAAAGGTCTGCGTTCAATCCCCAGTCCTGCCCCCCACTCCAAAAAAAAAAGTGTTTAGGCTGGCAAGATAAGCTCAGTGGCATAAGCACCTGCCTGGCAAGCACAAGGTCCTGAGTTCAATCCCTGGTACCAAAAAAATCGCACAGTTTAATAAACGGTGTTGGGAAAATTGGATATCCACATTCAGATTCTTAGCACAGATGATCTAAGGGAGCAGAGCTAACGCCTTTCAGACCATTGAAAGTTGGGATTTCAAAGTATCCTTTGTCTCTCGTGCGATCCAGGACGCAGCACAAGCGCACACGGCGAATCAAACGTTTCAGGAGATAATTAGTCACTATCTGCCGTACCTCTGTATTTCTTATTCTTTTCACAGAAAAAAAAAAAGAAAGAAAGAAAGAAAGAAAAACAAAAAGAAAAGGAAGAAGCTAGCACACTCACCAGGAACCCTTCCAGGTCGAAACCTACTAGATTTGTTTTACGAACTATTAACAGGTGGTTAAAGGCACTCCTCTGCCAGTCTCAGCTGCAGCTACCCCTGTCCCAGCCCTCTGAAAATGTGTCGCTTGCAGCTCGGAAGGTGGTTAACTCACTGAACCGCAGAAGCGCTACCCCGCTGCAGGAAGGCGTTTGTCTCTCAGCTGTGCCCACCGCCCCGACCCCTTCCTCGGTGGATGATGCAGGACTCCATGCGCTTCCCTGCTCTCCGGCTCCCCGCGCGCCGGCCCCGCCCCCTTCGCCTCTCCCAGCGAATTTAGTTTCTCCTCTGCCTGGCAGGCAGAGCGCCGAATGATCGATGCTTCCTCCACGTCCGAGGGCCGCCATCTTTTTTGAGGCGGGAGGAGAGCCACATGTAGGCGCAGCCGAGGCTCAACGAGATGCTGGCTCTGGCTGGGCTTTGTTTCTCTTGCCATCCCTGTGGGGTCCGGGTAGCACAATCCCCCGGGGCTCCTCCTCTGTGTGCCTTTCCGGAATGAGGCCTCAGCGCCCCCAAGGGACGACCCCCTGCTTCCTCCGACGACGGTGAGTGCGTCCCCGCGCCGGCCCGTGCGCGCCCCCGCGCGCCCTCTGCTGTCAGTTACCCGCGCGCCCGCCGCCGCGCGCGCCGCTCTCCCCCGCGCGCCCGGCGCAGACGCGCTTGTTTGTTTCTGCAGGAGCCGGAGGGGAGGCCGAAGCCCAGACGATGCCCGGGAAGCTGAAGGTGAAAATCGTGGCCGGGCGCCATTTGCCGGTGATGGACCGTGCTAGTGACCTGACTGATGCCTTCGTGGAGGTTGGTGCAAGGTCCTGCCCCTCGCCACCCGGGCGGGGCGCGCCAAGCCCCGTGAAGGATCGGCCCGTCTCGCTCGCCCGCCCGCTCGCAGCCCCTCAGCCCGGTCCCCTCCCGCTGCCCTCCTGTCTGCGGTGCTCGCCCGGCCCCAGGGATGGGCGCACGGTCCTAGCCCTGCATGCCGGTGACCCTGGTGTTGGGACGCACAGCAGGCCACCCGCCAGGCTGACGGTCCCCAGGCGTGGCCGCGGCGCCACAGCAACACACACACACACACACACACACACACACACGTTTATCCTTAGAGGCGGGTGGCGTCTCACGCTGGAGTGTTGCACGTCGGCTTCAGAGTGCACCAGAATGCACCACACACTCAGCCTTTTACAGATAGTGAGAGTTCCGTGCAGCGCGAGGATGTCCACCCCTTAGCCTAAGCTGTTCTGAATCATCAGTGTGAGTTCCAAACCCAACCTAACACTTGCTGCTGTTCCTGTATGGACTGGTAGGTCGGATGAGCTGTTTCAGGTTAATTTAGTGCCTTGAGGTAGGAAGTCAATTAAGTACCTTGGATTTAAATTGCAAAATTGCTTTTTAAATCTAATGATTAGTTTAAAACTCATGTAAATTAGCGCGAGCCGACGCCCCCGGAAAGTAATAATCCCAGGTCTGAAAGAAGCCAAGAAAAAATTGCAGTAAAAGTAGACACGATGAGCCAGAGCATTAGAGTAATAATCAGTTTAGACCTGATGGATACAGGAGCTTATAGGGGCTGATTTCATCTCCTTATGAGATATTCTTGATGTTCTTGAAAGGGTCTCTAACCTGGTTAAGTGCATCCTTCCGTTGTCATGGTAATTCTTAAGCTCCTTATTTTCCTGGAAATTCTGTGTGCTCTTGGGCTAGATGTTAGGTTATAGAGATACACAGATAAAGTGTGCATTTATTCTAGGGTTGCTCAGAGATGGACCCAGTCAGCTTATATTAAAAACTATTGGCTAATGTGTATTGAATTTTACTTATTGTTGCCATATCTGTCAGATGCTTGTTAATATTTTATCCTCACAACAGCTCTGGTATTGTCCTGTATTGTACATGAGGTGACTCAGGCCTAGCGGTGGTAGAAATTTGCCCAAATTTAGTTTGTAAATCTCCATAGTTTGGCAATCCATTCTTGTAGCAATTATGCGAATGTTGCCCCTCCTGGCAAGATTATGAGTGTTCCATGCAAGTATAAAACTTAAAACTCTGTCTCTGAAAGTTTAGGAAGACTTCTTCAGGAGATGACATTTGAACGGGGGCTTGAGGGACACCTAGAATTTTACTAGGCAAAGGAATCATCAAATGCAAAGCTATAGAATGCAGTATGTGGTATGTTCCTGGAGGCATCTTAGTTTTAGACATGACTGGAATAAAAGCTGTGTGGTTAGTAGGGTCTTGTGAGAGAGGTATGTTAAAGTCTATTCTGTTTCCTCTTCTATTCTGTTTTTCCTTTATAAGCAGAGGTAAACCAGTTTGTAGTAAGTTGTTTCTTTATAGGATGACCTGAGGGATTATGTTCTTGATTCATGGACTGTTGAGAAGTTAGGCAGGGAAGAGTAGTTAAGAAGGCGATAAAATTATCTTGGCATATGTGGTAATGGGATTAGATTAGAACATATTTGAGGAATATTTCTTAGGTTAAAATTGTTAGATATTAAAACCTAGTGTATTTTGCTGATGAGGGAAGGCTGGGTTCAATTGTGACTCATTAATTCCTTCTGTCGATAAATAGTTCTTGAGTGTCTGCTATTTGCCAGCCTCCATTTGTAAGCTGTGATAGATATTAAGAAAGAAAACAATAGGAAGAGAAGAAAAGGCACCATCTATCTTGCCTTAAATAATCAGGTTGAGTTTCAGTCAAGCAAGCAAAGTCTGAGGAGCTGGCTGCTCCAGGCGTACTTTTGCTTGCGGTGGTGGCATTGGGGGGCGGGGGAGCAGGTGGGAAGCTAGAGGAGCAGAGTGTAGTAGAGGGAAGACCCCAGGAGACTGGTGTGTTGGGGCAGTGAAGGATTAGTCACATCGCCCATTGTGAGACTACATGCCACTATTAGGAATTGGAATTTTATTCTAAATTCCATGAAAAATAGTTGAGAAGTGAACACTTTAATTACTAACTGGAGAATGGATTGAAGGGGAAAGAATGGTAGCAGGCCCCTAGTTAAAACATTATATTAATAACAGGTGGTAAAGGCCAAGGTGATATTTGGTAATGGACCACAGTGGATGAATTCCTGATGTATTTTGAGAATACACTAAAAGATTTGTTGGCTCTTTGGAATTAGGGATCAAGGAAGGAAGACTAAAGAATGATTCCTAGCTTTCTGGAGTTGGTGGAGTAATTTTCTGAGACTACAGGGGTGACAGAGATTGAGAGAGAATCACTTTCTGTTTGGATGTGTTAGAGTTGAGATGTCCTTAGGACCTTTATTTGCTATTGTCAGGGAGACAGCTTGATTTGTGACTATGGAGTTCAAATGAGAAGTGTGAGTTCAAGGTAAGTTCACACAAGGCAGTGTTTCTCAGAGGCCTGGCCACCCTTTGATAGGACATATTTTGAAATCTTTAACTATTCTGACATGATACCATAGCTAATATAACTTCTTTATACTTACAATGAAAGAAATCAATACAATGCTGTAATCATAACAAGTGTTTTTGTTTATGAAGTGCTTGTTTATGCCTATAGTATGAAACCTGAATACTCAGTTGGAATCATAGGATATTTTTTGAGCCCATACTGTAGTGGATGCTGGAGACATAGCAATGAATAAAGCAGTAATTTTTGTTAGTTATGGAATGTAACTTTTACAGGTTCCTAAACAAGATTCTTAAGAGATCCAATATACTAGATGTTGAAAAGTGTGCATGAAGAGAAAATAAGGCCTGGACGTGGGATAGGGAGTGCCTCACTTCTGTGTAAAATCACACGAATCAGACTGATTTACAGAGTGAGACACTTTTGTAGTTGTGACATAGCTCTTCTTTGCCACTGGTAATCTGATTTTTTTTTTTTTTTTTGGAACCGGGGATTGAACTCAGATCCTGGCGTTTGCCTGTCAAGCACTTATCCTACTGAGCCATCTCCCCGGCCCCAAAGAGTCGGGACGGGGGCACGAACCGTCGACCTCGCGCTCTAGAGCCGGGCGCAGAAAACGCTGCACTAGGTCGCTGCCTGGTAATCTGATTTTTGAAAACAGTGAACTCATGGGAAAAAATTGTCTCTCTGTTTTTGTTTTGTTTTGCTGAACGGGGGATTGAACTCAGGCCCTTGGGCTTGCCAGGCAAGCGCTTATTCTACTGAGCCATCTCCCTGGCCCCCAAAAGTTGTCTCTTAACTTACATGATGGCTGTCGTTCTTGACAACTGTGTATATTGCAACTCTACCTGTATACTTTGATCTGTAAAAATTTGATTCTTAATAGACGGCTTACTCACACACCTATTTGAAAGTGATGGCATGGGGTGAATCTACATTTCTGGGACATTGTATTGTAGGAAACCTAGTGGCTCTGACCGTTCCTCGCCAAAATACCTTTGCTACCCCCTCCCAAATATGTCTAGAAGTTTCTTAACATCCCTTAAGATTTAGTTTTTTCCTTTTGCCAAACTTTTCCTGAAGAGGAGAGAAAGTTGAACAGATCCTTGAAAAAACTTGACATAAAGAGACATTATGAAAGGATTAGAGAAAGGGAACCAAGATTGTCAGCTAGTGGGTAGAAGAAAAATTAGGAAAGTGATGTTTTAGAAGGCCAAAGAGGAAATGTCTAGAAAGAGGAAGCTTTCATCTGTGAAGTGGGACTAAGAGGTTAAGGAAAAGGATGAAGCAGTCTCTGGATTGGAAGATGAGGAACAGCAAGATGAGCAGCTGTTTCAAGCATACTGGGCAAAGGGGAGAGAGCAAAGAGTAGTGCGATGCTTAAGTCGGTAGCTTTTTGTGTTTTAAATTTTATTTTTTATTAGTTTGCAATATATATCTTTTAGTTTTTTTTTTTTTTTTTAATGAGTTAGAAGATAACATATTTGTGTGCTAATAGAATAATCCAGCACAAAAGGGAAAGCTAAGCCAGGAAGAGGGGATAATAAAGGATTATAATATAATAAAGGGACTAATTTAATAATGTACACTTTAAGTAGTAGAAGATCATAGGACAGGAACGGAATGAAACTTAGGGTAATTATGAGAAATCTTTCCTTTTTTGGAAGAAGCAGTCACCCTATTTTGGCCTGCCCAGTTTTTAGACTCCAGGGCTCAAATGAACTTTCTGCCTTGGCGTTCCAAGGAATGAGACTGCAAGTGTGTATCATCACTCCTAGTTATGAATTTTTTTTTTTTTTTTGTACAGCAGATCAGACTCAGACCTTACGCATGCCAGGCAGGTGCCTAAGCTGCTGAGCTATCCCCTTGGTCCCCCCAAAATCTTAATGCTGGGCCTGTAGAATGGAAAAATTTCCACAGGTGCTCCCAGCCCCAAGAGGTTTTTTTCAGGTAAGATAAGCTTGGTAAAAGCAAAAAGGGTAGAGCATATGGGTTTGTAAGGAGAGCTCTTGATTAAGGATGGGAAACAGGTAAATATGGCTGGGGGATACAGATTACTGCATAGGCTTAAAATTAGGGGAAGAAGTATATACTGTGGAAGCTCCCTTGCCTCCCTTCCTGTCATGGGCTTGTCATGGTCCCCAGTGCCCTGTGTACCTCTCGCGAAGCATATTTTCAAATGCCCACATGTTGTGTCCTTAGACTGCTCTCGTGTACCTGGGGTCTCCCAGCAGCTGGCCACTGTACTTTGCTGCTGAGAAGTGGTTGTGTTTGGTTCCAAATCTGTTTATGTCAACTGCATTTGTTTTTGCAATTTATTTAAGCCTTATATAGATCAGTAAAGTATGAAAGTCAAGTTAGTCCTTATGTGAAGACTTAAGATATAGCCGTTGAAATTTGCTCTTGAATTAGTTGGAAAAAAGATTGT